TAGGTAGAGAATTTTCTTTGCATTTATTATGCTTGGGGTTTAGTAGAGTTTATATAATCTGTGGATGGATGTCTTTCGTTTTGGAAAATTCTCAGCCATTGTTTATTAAAATATTCTTCACTCTTCTCTCCTTCTGGGACTCAAACTACACTTTAATAGATCTTGCCAGTGTATCTCTGTCTCTTATCTTCTCTTCCATCTTTTCCATTGTTTTGTCTCTTTATACTTTCAATTCAGCAAATTGATATATTGAATTCTTTCTTTCAGTTATATATATAGATATATATACACACACACTTATAAATATGTGTATCTATATATATATATATACTTTTTTTTTTGGACACAGGATCTCACTCTGTCACTCAGGCTCGAGTGCAGTAGCATGAACATGGCTCACTGCAGTCTCAACCTCCTGGGCTCAGGTGATCCTCTTACCTCAGCCTTCTGAGTAGCTGGGACTACAGGTGTGCACCACTCCACCTGGCTAATTTTTTGTAATGATGGTGTCTCATTATGTTGTCCAGTCTGGTCTCAAACTCCTGGGCTCAAGTGATCTTCCTACATAGCCTCCCAAAATGCTGAGATTACAGGCATAAGCTACTGTGACTGGCTCAGTTATATTTTTACATTCTAGAATTTTATTTTAAGTAATTTAAATTGTCTGCAATTTTCTCAATTTTTTATTTCCTTGAACATTTTGAAGTTATCTTAAAATTAATGTCATGTATCCACTATCAGGATACCCTGTGCTCTGTTTCTAATATATACTGTTTTTCTTGGTTTTTAAACACGTAGTCCGGGGTTCTCTCGTACATATTTTCTTGTGCAGCTAAAATGTTCTGTTCCCCCAGATAAGATTTACGTTTTCTGGCAGGCATCCAGAGATACTAGTAGTCAGGGATCATCTTAACCTCTTTCACAAACCATTTATTTCTTACCTGGCATTATTTGTTTTGATAAATCTCCTTGGAGTGCAAACCTAAAGTAAGGGGGGTTTACCGGCCTCCCCTCCTACTTAGTGGGCTCTGGGTTCTTATTTTGTCTCTTTTGTCCTCTGTAGTAATCAAAGTGTCTGCTCAGCTTCACAGCCCTTTAGCCTCCTCCTCTGGTGCCTCTAGGGAAAAAACGGCCTTGAGTGCTGGGCTCATTGCTCTAGGTTTTCCTTTTCTCCTAAATATTCTTCACTTATTTATTAATTCTCCAGACCTTCAAACATATATTTCCTTACATATTTTGTCTATGGTTTCTGGGTATTCTTAGTGGAAATATTGATCTGAGTCCTTAGTTTGTTATCACTGGAATGAGAAGTATCAATTTACCGCTAAGTGCCACATGACTACATCCGACAGGTTTTTATGTGTAATATTGTTTTTGTCATCTACTTCCACTTACGGAAATTCCCATTATGTTTTCTCTTTAACACATGGACGTGGAGAAGTGCATTTTTTTGTTTCCCAAAATGTTTAAAAATAATGTTTTAAGATAGATTCCTAAGATTTTATTGTGGTCAGAGAAAATATCTGTCTTCTTTTAGAAATATGTGTCTTTCTAAACACATGGCTAATTTTTGTAAATGTTCCATGGATGCTTGAAAATCTTGCATTTGTTACATTTGTTAAGTACAGAAATCGAAGTTCTTAATTTCACTGTCTGAATATTTTATATTTTTACCAATTTTGCAACTTTTGTTTGCTTCATGACAGTTTCTGTCAGATGTGTTGAAATTTTCCATATTAATGTTGATTTATCAATTTCTTCTTGTATAAATTTCTCCAGTTTTTGCTTTATACAATTCAACATTTGTTGTTAGTTGTGTACAATTTCACAATTGGTGTCTCTTCTTTGTGAATAATTTTGTATATCATGTAGTTTTCCATTTTATCCTTAATAAAATGTTTTGCTTCAAACTCTGTTTTGTGATATAAGTTGGAACTATTACTAGCTCTCTTTTCATTAGTATTTGCATGGCATGTATCTTTTGAATTTCTTTATTTTCTACCTTCTGTATTGTTTTTATATTGTATATGTGATTTCTAAATAGCATATATCAAAATTGCATATATTGCATATATTGTTTTTATATTGTATATGTGATTTCTAAATAGCATATATCAAAATTGTCTTTGAAATCTAACTTGATCACTTTTATTTGTTCTTAGGTGAACAAATAAATAAATGAACAAATATTTATACCTATGTAGGTATTTGCACTAATTTCTACTCTCTGGTTTGACTTTTTGGCTTACTATACTTCATTTTTTATTTTCTTCATTCCTATCTGCTTTTGGATGGAAATATTGGACTATATCCTTTTTCTCCTCTGCTTGTTTGGAAGCTGCAGATCATTTATCATTTTAGTCTTTTCCCCTAAAATTTTAACACGTACATTAAACCAGTAATTTTCCTAAGGGAATATAGTGATTCTATACTTCTTTTTTCCTCCTGAATATATCAAGAAATTAGCACTCATTAGTTACTGATTAATAATCTTCCTAATTTTCTAATTGTCACCTTGAATTCTACCCTTACTTTAAAAATTATTATGAAATAGTTAAGAGTTACAAAAGTGATGAAGTTAATACAACGCGTATTCATGTATCCACAACCCAGCTTAAGAAATAAAACATTATCTACAAGATCTGAGACTGTAGTCTGCCTCTCCCTGTTTACTTCTTATTATCTAACCTCCACTCCCAAGGTCATTTCTATTCTGGATTTCAAATAATTTCTTTACCTTTCTTTACACTTAAAAAAAATATGAATTCTTAAATAATGTTACATGCAATTATTTGCTTGTTTAATAATTTTACATATTTTATTCTACTTCTTGAATATTTAAGTTCTGAAATGTAACTTTTTTGCTCAATATTAGTTTGTGTGACATAGTCATATTGATAGATATTATTCTAGTTTATTCATTTTCATGGCTATACTGTATTATATTACTTTTTATGAATGTACCAATTTATATACTCATTTTCTAGATGGAAATTTAGGTTATTTCCAACTTTTGTTATTACAAACAATGTTTCTGTAAATGTTCTTGACACTATTCACAGTAGCAATGATATGGAATCAACCTAGGTAGGTACTCATCAATGGTGAATTGGATAAAGAAAATGTATACATACACCATGGAACACTATGCAGTCATAAAAAGAATAATATGCTCTTTGCAGCAACATAGATGCAGTGGGAGGCCATTTTCTAAAATGAATTAATGCAGGAACAGAAAATGAAATACCACATAAGTCTAAGAGTTGAAGTTATTTAAAAAAGGACTTGAATGTGGTTTCTTATACAAATATGATTGATTTTTTTCTCGATGATGCAAATTCAGTAGTGAATTGTTGAGATATTGAAGATGCCCTCTTTAACTTTAATATATGCTGCCAGATAATTTTTGCTTACTTTTTACTCCCCTTGCAATATGAATTATTTCCATAGCTCCATATCTTTGCCACCATTTTGCCAGTTGGATAGGTGTGAAATGGCATCTTTTCATGGTTTTAATTTGTTGTTTTCAAATTACTAGTAAGGTTGGACGTATTTTAATATGCTTATTGGGCATTTAGTTTTCCTTTTCTGAGAATTCTGTTTGTATTTTTTGTCTTTATTCCTATTGGGTTGTTTTCTTTTTCTTACTGATTCACAGAAACTCTTAATAAGTCTATAGTAATACTTTGTTGAGATTTCAGAACCAAAGGCAAACGTTTAGGATCATTTGATGATTAATTTTATGTGTCAACTTGTCTGAGGCATGAGATATTTACATATTTGGTCAAACATTATTCTGGGTATGTCTATAAGGGTGTTTCTGGGTGAGATTAGCATTTCAATTAATAGACGAAGTAAAGCAAATTGCCCTTCCTAAGCTAAGTGACTGGGACTTAGCTAATCAATTGAAGACCTGAATAGAAAAAAAGGCAGAATAAGAGAGAACTTCTCCTACCTGACCATTAAGCAGGAACATCAGTTTTTTTCTGGCCTTTAGACTCAGACTGAAACATTGGCTCTTCTTGTGTCTCAAGCCTGCTGAGTTTTGGACTGATACACATACCATTAGCTCTCCTGGCTCTCAGGCTTTTGGACACAGACTGGAACTACACATCAGCTGTGCTGAGTTTCTAGTTTGTTGACTGCAAATCTTGCAACTTCATACACACATACACACACACACACACACACACACACACACATACACACACACACACATCTTATTAGTTCTATTTCTCTGGAGACTTCTGACTAATACAGAACATGAACTCCAAATGAAGAGATGGAACACATCCTTAATGGAACCCATCCTTAATTCCTAGTCCAGGGACCAGGCCAGACCAGCCACTCCATGAAGGAACCCAACAGAGCTGGAGGCTACCTTGTGGATCTGAGACCCCTATTCTCCTCTGCCGCTGTGTGGTCTTGTGTACTTTTTTACTCACCTGGATAACATCTTGGAGAAGATTAGGGATAGAAAGAGGAGTCAGGAAGACTGAACTTTCATTAAAAAAACCCAAATCAGCTTACTGTAAAGGAGACATTTAAATCAGAAGAAAATAATGTAAATGGGTAAGTTTAAACATTCCCCTTGTCCCTATTACCCAGCAGAGTGAAGACTCATGAGAAAGATGAGATTAATAATGGAACATAAAGAACTCTTCTTTTGTATAGTTGACTATAGAGCGTACACTTCAGTACCTTTTTGGTTATGTTAAAATCCTGTGTTAAATACCAAACAAATTTCAATCATTATTCCACTAGATTATTATACTTTAACATTTTAAGCAATTACTCCTTTGCTTAAATAACATTTACAGCTACTTTTATGATTTTTGACCCTATTTTAACAATAGCTAACTATTAACATATCTTAATTTATTTAGTAAGAGATACCTGAATGTAAGAGTTTATGCTCCACAAGGGGAAGAACAAAGGCAAATTTTAACAGAGATGTTCATACGTATATGCATTATTAAAACTGCACAACATGACCTTACCGTTCTGAATATCCACTTTCCCGGGCAAACCTCTGAAATGCACCCATGGGATCTGAGCCTGTGCTTAAGATGAATACCAGGGGAGTGTTGCATGACATGTCTTGATACAGGGTAGCCAGGTCCACAGGTGGTGTCTCTATAAACTGTTTTCCAAGATTTTCTATCACAAAGTCTGTAAGAGCAAAAACCACCTGAAAGTTGAAAAGAAAAAAAAAGTATGTTGAATGAGGATCCTTCATAATTTTATCCTAATTTTCTCCTTCAGCCCCTCAGAGGATGGTGCCTTGTGTTTTTGTACTTATTCTGTCTTGATTGGGTATACATCTTTATTTATTTATTTATTTATTTATTTTTTATTTTTATTTATTTATTTATTTTTGAGATGGAGTCTCACTCTGTTGCCCAGGCTGGAGTGCAGTGGCACGATCTCAGCTCACTGCAAGCTCTGCCTCCTGGGTTCATGCCGTTTTCTTGCCTCAGCCTCCCGAGTAACTGGAACTACAGGCGCCTGCCACCATGCCTGGCAAATTGTTTGTATTTTTAGTAGAGATGGGGTTTCACCGTATTAGCCAGGATGGTCTCAATCTCCTGACCTCGTGATCCACCTGCCTCAGCCTCCCAAAGTGCTGGGATTACAGGCATGAGGGTATACATCTTTTTATAGATATTATTTGCTGGATTTGTTCAGCAAATATCTGTAGACAGCTATGGTTCTCATGACTCACAAGCAAGATGAAATATTAGGTAAGAGGGAAGTCCCTCAACATTCACTCTATTTATGAAACTGCTGTCTTCCCTTCCTTGCCTCTTCTGGCCTGTTTCACATTATTGTGGACTTTACTTTCAGCCCCTACATTGTCTCTTTCTGCATTATTGATCTCTGTTTCCTTGATATTCCTATCATCATACAATTAAGCATTACTATATTCCATCCTTAAAAATAAAACCAAAACAAAGATCTTCCCTTGATGGCAGCTACTTTTCCAGCCACTATTTCATTTCTTTGCAACCACTCACAAGCCAACTTTTCAGAAAATTGGCTCAGTTTATTGTCTCCCTTTCTTCATCTCATTCACTCACCAGCCCCTTCTGACCCTTCTCTGGAACCAACCTCAGCCTTGATGATTATGCCCAGGCCTGGCCATTTCCTATATCAATTTGGTTCTTTCACTGATCCTACCCTACCTTACCTACCCCATTCCTGTTCTTGCTGGCCTTGTCCCTCCCCAACCCATATGGAGCCTTCGTGTGAGAGAAAAAGGTGTCTCCTCTTCAAGGGACTTTTAATGTGCCAGAAAGCCGTCATGATAAATACACAGCCTATAATATCTACAATATGAATGACTCCCCCATAGGTTGTTCAGTGTACATCCTGCACAACTGTAAACAGCAGCCCTCCCCTTAGCCCTTCACTAGCTATCATCACCGTTCTGTCCAAACAAGCCTTACTGTGTGTGTGTATCTGTGTGTATGTAATGCTGTTGGGCAGGGAAGTGTCCCAACCTGGTCTAGGGCCATGGCCTTGGATCACACGCTTCTGTGGCCATTGGGAAAAGATGGTGTTCACATGCTTGTTCCTTTAAGTGGGGATGTATTATGGTACTAACTATAAAGGTGTCAGGGTCTAGGAGGAACAGCCATGCAATAGGGCCATCACGTTTGGGGCTTAGTTCTAATTCTAGTTGTGTCAATGTGTGGCTAAGTATAATTCACTTAACCTTTCCAGCATCAATTTCTTTATATTTTGTTTCAGGTGGACACTCTTTTTGGTATAAATTCATGGGGTAAAAGTATAATTTTGTTACATGCATAAACTGCAATAATGGTTGAGTCACTGCTTTTAGGGTTTCCATCACCTGAATAATGTTCACTGTGCTCATTAAGTAATTTATTTTATCATCCATCCCCTTCCCACCTTCTCACCCCTCTGAGTCTCCATTGTCTATCATCCCTTTCTCTACATTCATGTGTACATAATATTTAGCTCTCCTTTATGAGTGAGAACATGTGATATTTGCCTTTCTGTGTCTTACTTGTTTCAATTAAGACAGTGGTCTTCAGTTTCATCTATGTTGCTGCAAGAGACATGATTTTATCTATATTTATGGTTGAATATAGTATTCAATTGTGTATATATACCACATTTTATTTATCCAATCATTCATTGATGGACATGTAGGTCGATTTCATATCTTTGCTACTGTGAACAGTGTTGTGATAAACATGAGCGCAATTATCTTTTTGATATATTGGTTCCTTTCCTTTGGGTAGATACCTAGTAGTGAGACTGCTGGATCAAATGATAGTTCTTTTTACTTCTTTGAGAAATCTCTGCCAGGTATGGTGGCTCATGCCTGTAATCCCAGCACTTCAGGAGGTCGAGGCAGGTGAATTGTTTGAGCCCAGAAGTTTGAGGTTGCAGTGAGCTGTGATTGTGCCACTGCATTCCAGCCTGGGTGACAGAGTGAGATCATGTCTCAAAAAAAAAAAAAAATTTATACTATTTTCCATGGGGGTTGCACTAATTTACATTCCCACCAAAGTGGGAATGTATATTTCCTTTCCTCTGCATCTTCACTGACATTTGTTATTTTTTTACTTTTTAGTAATAGCTATTCTGACTGGGGTATGATAAAATATTTCATTGTGGTTTTAGTTTGCATTTCTCTGATGATTAATGATGTTGAGTATTTTTCATATACCTGTTAGCCATTTGTATATTTTTTGAAAAATGTCTATTTATGTCCTTTGCCTATTTTTAATTGGATTATCTCTTTTGTTATTGTTATTGAGTTCCTTGAGTTTCTTGTGTATTGTGTATATTAGTCCCCTGTCAGATGCATAGTTTGTAAGTATTCTCTCCCATTCTGCAGATTATTCATTTATTCTGCTGATTATTTCTTTTGCCGAGCAGAAACTTCTTAGATTAATTAAGTCCCATTTGCCTATTTTTTGTTGCCTGTGCTTTTGAGGTCTTAGTTGTTAATTCTTTGCCTAGACCAATGTCAAGTTTCCCTAGGTTTTCTTCTAGTATTTTTATAGTTTCAGGTCTTATTTTTGAAGTCTTTAATTCATCTTTAGTTGGTTTTTATATAGAGTGAGATATGGGTCCAGTTTCATTCTTCTGCAAATGGCAATCCAATTTTTCCACCACCATTTACTGAAAGAGGTGTCTTTTTCCTTTTGTATGTTCTTGTTGACTTTGCCAAATATTGGTTGGTTGCAAATACGTGGCTTTATTTCTGGATTTTCTATTCTGTTCCATTGATCTATGTATCTATTTTTATAACAGTACCATGCTGTTTTGGTTACTATAGCCTTGTAATATAATTCCAAGTCAGATAATGTGATGCTTCCAACTTTTTCCTTTTTGCTTAAGATTGCATTGGCTATTTGGGCTCTTTTTTGGTTCCATATAATTTTAGGATTGCTTTTTCTAAATCTGTGAGAAACAATGTTGGTATTTTATAGGGTTTATGTTGAATCTGTGGATTGCTTTGGACAGTATGGTCATTTTATTGATAGTAATTATTCTTATCCATGGGCATGGGATGTTTTTCCATTTATTTCTGACATCCACAATTCCTTTCTTCAGTGTTTTGTAGTTTTCTTTGTAGAGATCTTTCACTTCCTTGGTTAAACATATATATTCTAGGTACTGTTTTTTTTCTTTTTCTTTTTTTTTTTTTTTGAGACAGAGTCTCGCTCTGTTGCCCAGGTTGGAGTGCAGTGGCACAATCTCCTCAGGTCACTGCAACCTCCATCTCCTGAGTTCAAGCAGTTCTCCAGCCTCAGCCTCCCAAGTAGCTGGGATTACAGGCAAGCACCACCACACCCAGCTAATTTTTTGTATTTTTAGTAGAGATGGGGTTTTGCCATGCTGCCCAGGCTGGTCTTGACCTCCTGAGCTCAAGCAATTCACCTATCTTGGCCTTCCAAAGTGCAAGGATTACAGGTGTGCACCCAGCCAGGTATGTTGTGTTTTTTTGTTTTTGTTTTGGTAGCTATCATAAACGGGTTTCCTTCTTAATTTCATTCTCGGCTAGATCATTATCAACATGTAGAAAGGCTACTGATTTTCATATGTTGATTTTATATTCTGCAACTTTCTAAATTCATTTATCAAATTTAGGAGTTCTCTGGTGAAGTTTTAAATTTTATTTTTTGGATATGTCATACCATACCGTATCATCAATAAACAGGAATAATTTGACTTCATCTTTTCCAAACTGTATGCCTTTTACTTTCTCTTGCTTGATTGCTCTGGCTAGGACTCTAGTACTATGTTGAAGAGAGGCGGTAAAAGTGGGCTTCCTTGTTTTCTTCCAGATTTTTGAGGAAATGTTTTCAACTTTTCCTTATTCAGTATAATGTTGACTGTGAGGTTATGAGGTTATCTTATATATGTTCCTTCTATGACTAATTTATTGAGGGTTTTCTCATGAAGGGGTGCTGAATTTTATCAAATGCTTTTCTGAGTCTATTGAGAAGATCATATGATTTTTGTCCTTAAATCTGTTTATGTGATGTATCACATTTATTGATTTGCATATGTGAAACCATCCTTGCATCCCTAGATAAAACCCACTTCATATTATCTTTTTGATATTATCTTTATATTATATTATCTTTTTGATGTGCCATTGAATTAGGTTTGCTAGTATTTTGTTAGGGACTTTTGAGTCTATATTTTTCAGGGATATTGGTCTATAATTTTCTTTTTTTGTTGTGTCCTTATCTGGTTTTGGTATCTGGATAACACTGGCCTCATAGAATGTGTTAGAGAAAATTCCCTCCTTCTCTACTTTTGGAACAACTTCTTTTATCGTTTTTATTTCAAAAGGCTTTGATTATATAAACTATTTGCTTTTTACTTTGCTAAAACGTGATCCAAGAGTTTACAATGAATTACAATATACAAAACACCAATAACTTATTGGGGTTGCTATTTAAATACCAAAATGGTAACACACTCATGAAATGCTCTTGAACTTAAAAAGTTGGAGAAATATTTTTCTTGCAAACAGGACAAACTGTCACTAATGTTACATAGTGATCTTGGTTCTCAGTGGCTTTATCACAAGCTCTTAGTTTGTTACAAGCATATGTAACATGTGCAATTTCTCATGTGTGTGAACTAATTTTCTTTATGAAACATTTTAAATATGCAGAAAATAAATGTGCATAAAAC